GCAGAGCCGCCCAGCCGATCCTCTGTCTTCTGCCGCTTGAGGGAGCCCGCCCGCTGGGGACCCGCACCGACGCCTGCTGCCCGCGCAGGGGTTGGGGATACGCCTGGGCGGTCCCTGTCGGCCAGGCCGGGGGCGCGGGGACGCTTGTCAGCCTTGGGGTCCACAGGGGGCGCGTGAGTGAAGGACTGGGAGCGCTTCTTGCGAGGCGTGTCCTCGTCGAAGAACTCGATGACGAAGGCCTGCTGGTTGTGCAGCAGCTCCCGGGGGTCCCGCTTGATCTGCCGCTGCAGCCGGGCCTGCTCCGCGCCGGCCTCCGCAGACATCCCAGCCGACGTCGCCGACGTCGGAGCCAGCGGGTCCTCCGAGTCACTCTGTGTCCCATCTTCGTGCTTGTGGCCTGGAGGGTGGGCAGTCAAGGCAATTCATCAGGCCGTGAGAGGCAGACAGCCTCCAGCCCCGGGACCAGGGAGTCAACGCGCACGAACGCACGCACGCACGCACGCACGCACGCACGCACGCACGCACACAGTCATCACACATGCTTGGGAACACTGAGCCTCATGCTACATAGAACCCAGCACACATGGGCTGAGATACAACAGAGGGAGATACTGGGGGGGCCCCCACCAGCAGGTGGTTCTTGGGCCATTAACTGAAAAACCAAAATCAACCAGCCCATTAGTGACCCCCTTGGCATAGCCACCTGCCCTCAGACAGGCACAAACCCCAGTCACCGGCATGCACGGACCCAGGGCCTTAGCTGCCTGGTGGGCTGGCTGGTGGGCACTCACCTCTTGGGGGGGTGGGCGTGGAAGGGCGCTCACCTCTCGGGGGGTATGTGTGGAAGGGTGCTCACCCCTCAGGGGCCAGGCGTGGGTGCAGGTGTGGACATGGACGGGCACTCACCCCTCAGCAGGCGGGTGTGGATGGGCAGGTCACTCTTGGTGCTGTGGCGGTCATCCCCTGGGCCAGCCCGGCGCAGCAGGCTGGGGTCGTTCTGCACTAGCCAGTCGGCCACCTTGGTCTCAGCCGACACCATCTCTGCAGGCGCGGCCTCCTTGCCTGGGGGCCACCGCTGGCGCAGGGCGAACTTGGTGATGTGGTCTTTGATCTTCACCTTGCCTGGGCTGCAGTTGTCAAACTCGATGGTGAAGGAGGCGTGGCTGTGCACCATGGGTACCACTCCGCTGCCGCCTGGCTCTTGGTCCTTGGTGGGGGCCTCGTGCGCCAGCACCTCAGGGGAGCGCTCTGCTGCAGGCGGTGACTCCTTCGTGGGGATCTCAAAGTAGCTGGGCTCCCGGCGGAACGCGTAGCCCTGCGTCTCGACGGCGGCCCGGAAACCAGCCGGCATGCCGCTGAGCTCCCTGTCCTGCTGGGCCAGGCCCCTGGGACGCTCTGGGGGGGGGGGAATGTCCTCAGGCCACGCCCTCCGGCAGCCCCCCACCCCCTGCCCTGACTGTCCACTGGTCGCCCACCGCCCATGGGAGCTCTGGAGTTGGGGTGTCCTCAGGCCAGGCCCTCCGGCAGCCTCCCACCCCCTGCCCTGACTGTCCACTAGTCGCCCACTGCCCATGGGAGCTCTGGAGGTGGGGGATGTCCTCAGGCCAGGCCCTCTGGCAGCCCCCCACCCCCTGCCCTGACCGTCCACTCCTCACCTGGTGCCCACAGGAGCTCTGGAGGTGGGTGTCCTCAGGCTGGACCCTCTAGAGGCCCCCTGCTCTCCCCCGACACTGCAGTCCTCCCAGCCCCTCACCCACCACCCACAGAGCTCTGTGCCTTGGTCTGGTCTCCAGGACCCACCTGGGTCAGGCTCCTCCTGGTGCCGGTCCTCAGGTGGGCTGCCACCATCATCTTCCCCCCACCAGGATGGCTGGCCGTACAGGGGTGTGCGGTAGGTCGCTGCCTCTGCGGAGGGGGAGGGCAGTCAGATCTGGGGTCACCATGGCCCCCAACATGGACAGGAGGCCAGAAGGGCAGCTCTGGGCTCACCTCCAGGCTCAGACCCTCAGGTGCCTGGGGAACCTGGCCAGCTACTGATCATTCTGAGCCCCATTTCTGCATCTGTGGGGTGCCAACTACAGCCACGGAGGACCAAGTGGCCCCTGTCCCTGCTTGGCCCCCACAGGGAGGCTTGTCCCCCTTGAGTGGGCCCCAGGGCCCCAGCCTCTCTGCCCCCTGGAACCTCCTGCCAGAGGGGCAGGAGGCCAGCAGGGGAGCCCCCTTAGGGCCTCTGGTCTCTGTGGAGCTCACGGGGGGTGGCCCCTCTCCAAGTCTCTGTCAACAATTAAAGCCACAAATGATGACCGCGGGGGCTCGGTACCCCAAGGTGATTCTCTCTGGCCAACTTGGGCCTTTGGTTTTATCTGTTTGCTTTAATCTTTGAACCACCGACAAGAACTTAAAAAGTAGAAATTTCACATAAAACCTAGGTTTCCGGTGCGTACTGAGAAAATGGATATCCGGCAACCTCCCCAGCACAACGATGAGCAGGCCCCGGCAGCCCCCCATTCCCCCTCTGTCCCGCACTGCGCCCTCGAGAAGAGCCAGGCCATCATGGCCCCGCCCCTGGGAGTGGCCAGTCCCTCATCACAGCTCCGCCCCCAGGAGTGGCCAGTCCCTCATCACAGCCCCGCCCCCAGGAGTGGCCAGTCCATCATCACCCCACCCCCACAACAGCCCCGCCCCCAGGAGTGGCCAGTCCATCATCACAGCCCCGCCCCCAGGAGTGGCCAGGCCCTCATCACGGCCCCGCCCCCATCATGGGCCCCAGCGCCTAGAACCGGCCCTATGAGCTCACACGCTCCCCACCCCCAAACCCCTAAACCGGCGGGAACGGTGTCCTACCTGTCCCTGGCCTCCGGTCCCCCTTCTCTGGCTTGGGGTTCGAGGACTCGCAGTACGGTGTGTGGTCTGGCAACGGCTCGCCCCTCTTAGGTGAGGAACCCTTGACGCTCACCTGCAGCTGACTGGTGTACTTCTCATGCTGTGGGCAGGCAGGTGGGTGAGGGGCAGGTCCAGCACTCGGCTCCCCTTCATGACCCCGCAGTGCAGACAGGACAATTCCGGAGACCCAGGGAACTGGCGGGTCACGCAGCTCAGGGTCCCCGCCCATGCCCAGGTGGGGTCCTCAGGCCCTCAGGAGGAGCTGGGGCTTGTGTGGGAGGGCGGGTGGAGGGGGCAGTGAGCATCATGGGGAGGCTGGAGCAGGCCAGCCCAGACCCCAGGTGGGGAGGGCAGGAACCCCCCCCCCAGGGCATCAGTGGGCCGCTCAGCCTCTTGGGGCCCTGGGGATGGTGAGCTAGAACACTGGCCTGCCTAGCGCACGGGTGTGTGTGTGTGCGCGCGCACATTTGTGTGTGTGTGCATATATGTTCTATGCGTGTATACACATGCCTGTGCACGTTTGTGTGTGTGTGTATATGTATGTGTGCATGTATGTAGGAAACACTGGTGGTGCAGTGGTTAAGAGCTCGGCTGCTAACCAGAAGGTCGGCAGTTTGAATCCACCAGGTGCTCCTTGGAAATCCTACGGGGCAGGTCTACTCTGTTCTATAGGGTTGCTATGAGTCGGAATCAACCCGACAGCAACGGGTTTTGGCATGTATGTATACACGTGCATGTATGTGTGCTTGTGTATGGATGTGCACGTTTGTGTGCCCATGTGTGCATGCACGAGTGTCGGGCATAGGATCAGCTGCAGGGTCCGGGTGCTGGGTTCCCCCTGGCCAAGCAGGACAGCCTTGTGCTCTGGGGCTCCAACCCTGGCTCAGCCCCTCGGGGGCTGGGGGCCCTGGGCAGGCCATTCTCAGCCTGTGCTGCCCAAGGGCCACTGGGAAATGAGTGGGGAACCGCCCAGCCCACATACGGCTCCTGGGTAAAGCTCCACGACCCCAGAGGGCCTGTGCTCTGCGAGTGGAGTTCACAGATTCCCTACCTGTCATGGCCCAATCCAGCCCGTCACACCTGCTCCTGGGCTCATGGTGGCCCGATCAGGGTCCTCCCCCCATCCCCAGTACTGAAGATGCTGGCTGGGCCTAGAGGCAATGGGGGTGTGCAGCTCCAGCCGCTCTGCCTCATGGGTGGGGCACATGGCTCCCAGTGGGCTCCTGCTTCCCACCCCTCCATCCCAGCCGCCAGGGCCTACACCAGCAGCCCCCTCACCACTCTGCTCTGACCATACCCACAGGGCCCAAGGCCGGCCGAGGCCCCTGCTGCCCTGTCAGGGCCCAGCTCCACTGCAGGGGCTGGCAGAGCCCCTCAGCGCCCTCCTCCAGCTCCTCTGACCCCAGCTGCATCAGCCTCAGGGGTAATAACTACCCTCCCACCTGCCAGACAAGGTCGTCCAGCTGAGCTGGCCCCTGCGGTTCGGCCCCAAGCAGCCTGGGGTGTCTGCAGGGAGGGACAGGCAGCACAGGGCAGCGGGCCATGGGGGCTGCGGGGCTCGGGGGCTGCGGGGTGTGGGGGTGGATCTGCAGGGGCTGTGGGTGTCATGGCTATGTGTCATGGGGGCTTCAGGTGTCATGCTATGGGGCATGGAGACTGTGGGTCGTGGGGGTGAATCTGCAGGGGCTGTGGGTGTCACTGCTATGTGTCATGGGGGCTGTGGGTGTGGGGGCTACAGGGCATGGGGGCTGCGGGGCATGGGGGGCTGTGGGTGTCATGGCTACGGGCATGGTGGCTGCAGGTGTGGGGGCTGCGGGGCATGGGGGCTGTGGGGTATGAGGGCTGTGGGTGTCATGGCTGCACGGTGTCGTGACTCTGGGTATGAGGGCTGTGGAGTGGCGTGGCTGCACGGTGTCGTGACTCTGGGTGTGGTGACTGCGGGCGTGGGGGCTGTGGAGTGTCGCGGCTGCACGGTGTCGT